GGCTTTGTATGGTTTAAAACAATCACCTAGGCAATGGAACATTAAATTTGATAATTGCATGAAAAACTTTGGTTTTAAGAGAAGTAATGATGATCACTGCTTGTACTTCAAGAACACTTTCTCTGTTCCTCTTTTTCTTCTCCTTTATGTGGATGATATGCTAATCATTAGTCCTAGCTTAAAGTCTATTGAGCATGTTCAAAATTATCTTTGCAAAAATTTTGACATGAAAGATTTAGGAGATGCTAGAAAAATACTTGGCATGAATATTGTTAGGGACAGAAAGAAATCTACTCTTGTTTTAAATCCAAATTCCTACATTGTTAAGATTTTGAGTAAATTTGCTATGTCTGATGCTAAACATGTGGATGTTCCTTTAGCTGCTCACTTTGTTTTGAGTAAGGATATGTGCCCTAAAACTAAAGCTGAAATTAATGAAATGAAAAGTGTGCCTTATTCGAATGCTATTGGTTCTGTGATGTATCTTATGATTAGCACTAGGCCTGATATTGCTTATGCTATTAGTTGTTTGAGTAGATACATGTCTAATCCTGGTATGGCTCATTGGAATGCTCTAAAATGGCTTTTAAGATACTTAAAATCTACTAGGAATGTTGGTTTAACTTTTTCAAGAAGTGATAAAAGTGTTAAATTGATTGGCTATGTAGATTCTAACTATGCAAACGATAGGGATAATAGAAAATCTACTACTTCCTATGTGTTCACTTTGTGTGGTTCTTGCATTAGTTGGAAATCTCAACTTCAACACATTGTTGCTTTATCTACTACTGAGGCTGAGTATGTTGCAGCCACAGATGCTTTTAAAGAAGCCATTTGGCTTAAAGGTCTTTTATCTGAAATATGCTTGCTCGATAAGAATGTGGTTGTTTTTCTGATAGTCAATCTGCCATTCAACTATGCAAAAATCCTGTTTTTCATGATAGAACAAAATATATTGATGTTAGGTTTCATTTTATTAGAGACATAGTTGAAAAGGGCACTGTCATGTTGGAGAAAATTCCTACGGAATCTAATCCAGCTGACATGGGTACTAAGTGCTTACCTGTTGAAAAATTTACCTTATGTCAAAAGATTTTAAACCTATCTCTGTGATTGTGTGCTGATCTTTTGTTCTTTCTTTTTTTTAGTCTTTGTGACTTTTGCTTTTCTTTTGTTTTTGAACTCGATGACCCAATGGTAGAGTTCGACTCTTCGTGAGTTATTTTTGGCATGCTTTGTGATGTTGCCTAGTCTTCGTGACTTGAGAGTACTTAGTGAACTCTCCACCACTACGTGTGTTCTCATTTGTTGATTACACATTTAGTGGTTATTAGGCTATGATGAGTCCCGCGGTTCCTTGTCAAATTATGTGCACTACTTTGGGCCAAAGGTGGAGATTGTTAATTTATTTGGGTTGGCCCAAACATATTAATAATATTTGACACCCAACCCAGCAGCCCATTAACTCAAGCCCAACCGTGCAAAAAAATCCTTCCTCCTCTTTGTGAGACTTCCGTGTGGGTTTCTTTTTCCCTTTGTGTGTTCACCTCTGTTCTTCTCCGTTTCTTTGTGAGTGGAGTGTGGCGAGGTTGGGTTGGGGTGTTGCTCCTTTTGGTACCCTTGTAGTGCACAACTACGGACCGTCTTTTACGGGTGACCTGAGCCTAATCGGAATAAATAAATACACATAACAATATAAATATTGAAACAAATATTATCATTTTTTCTATTAATACATAATACTAGTAATTACTATACGATTAAAGCTCTATCCGATTAAAAATTCTAAAATTGGGTGTTGCAAGAAACTTGAAAGAGTTGAAAAATTTAGAAAGAATTGGAAAATTTTAAAGAAGTTGGAAAATGTTGAAAAATAAAAAGTGCTTTAAAAAACCACTTAATTAAATGATTACCTAAATAAATATGTAAGAAAACTAATTTTGGAAATAAAAAAGAATTCATTTTTGTCCTTATTTGAGGTGTTATATTATGAATTTAGATGTATAATGTTATTGTTAATCCATTATATGTAAATACGTCGTTGTTGAAGAAACTAGAAAGAATTAGAAAAAAACTAGAAGACATTGGAAGAAACAAAGAGTTGGATAAAATTAGAAGTTAATTTTTCTAACCTAAATAAAACAGAGCCTAATTTATGTTACATTATTCAATGTTGGATATAATTACTAATTATTATTATTATTATACTATATACAATTAAATAATAATAATAATAATAATAATAATAATAATAATGTTACATGTGTGATAATATATTTCTAGTTGTGTTACGAGTCTCTTCTATATATATGCTATCATGTACTTCATAATTCAATGAATAATATTAGTATTTTAATATTTCAACGTGGATGTTAGACAATAATACTAATATTACTTCTGATAGTACTGGTTATGATAGTGTTTGATTATTAGTCAGCTTTCTATTCTTATTTGTGGTAGATGTTTCATTTTAATTAGCCTCCATTCTCTATTCCTAGTTGTGTTAGGAGTCTCTTATATATATACATGATAATATATTATTCAATGAGTAATATTATTATTCCAATATTTCAACAGTAAGGTTTTTTGAATGTTTCATCCATTGACATTATAGCATTGCTATTTCTTGGTGAAAGGACAACATACTCGAGATGTTGAATTCCTTTTGCGCTAGCTCAGTGCTCAAGGTGTGCCATCATATCAAACATAGGACCCCGAAAGCAGAGTTACTCTAACAAGCAAGTTTAATTATATATGATGAAACATGTATGATGAATAGATTTGCTTTTGAGGCATTAGATCACACAATGAGAGATGTCGTATGGTTCTCTAATAATAAATACAAAGATGAACCATTAGGAGAGAAAATAGTTGTACTCGCGGGTGGCTTTTGCGAGATTCTTCATATTTTTTACTCAAAGCTTCAAGAGAGGAAATTGTAGGTGCCACAGAGTCAATTCTTTAAAGTTGTGGCGATTTGTAAAGTTTTTACGTTGACCAAGAATATGAGACTACATTCATCTATGACCTCTTTTGCAAAGGCACACATACTTTTTCTGATTAAAAAATCTAATTCAGAGATGGAAAACTAGGTGAGGTGATTGATAGAGTTAGTGATGTTGAGATTCGCCCAGATTCTTGATTCTTGACACAACTTCTCCTATCAAGAGTATAATACGCCGGCTTCACTTATCCAAACATATTACTCCCTCCGTCCCGGAGTATTCGTCCGGTTTTGACTTTTGAAACTGTTCATCTAAGCACTTTGACTCATCAAATTCTCTCAATGTGTAAGCCTAAATATAGTCATGTGTGATCTTGTTTGATTTGTCTTAACATATACTCCCTCTGTCCCATAAAACCTTTCTCTTTTCTTTTTTTATCCGTCCCACAAAACACTTCTCATTTCTATTAAAAAGTCACTTTTACCCCTTACTTTTTCATACCCTAACTATCACATCATACCTTTTTACTAATAATCTATCCATTAAATCATACTTTTACCCATCACATCAAAGGACATTTTTGGAAATTCAATACCAAAATACACTCCACTTAAATCCCTCCTAAAAAGCAAAACTCTCATGTTTCATGGGACGATATATACTTTCTATAATTGTTTAATATACAAATTACAAGATAAAATGGATTAAAGAAGTGTATTGGATGGTGTGTAAAAATGAAAGTGGACAAATACCCTAGGACGGAGGTAGTAGAAAACATGGACGATTATTCTTTTTTGAGGATTAGACACTATTAACACCAAGTCTCAAAGTAGTTGAAATGATAAATAAATTTATCTTGTCCCTCATTCACGGTGATGAAAAGTAGAATTTAAGTCATGATTCTTCATGCCAAGAAGATGCAGATGTAGGTGTTGATGGTGATTGAATAACAATTGAATTTTTAAATGAAATCAAATGTTTGAGAATCTCAAACCACAAATATTTTTGAAAAAGAGGTATCGATTATTTATGTTATTGAAACACATTGACCAAACATATGGATTGTGTAATGAGACAAGATTAATCGTTGAAGAGATACGAAAGAACATTATCAATGCAATTTTGGTTTTGAGAAATTGAGCCAGGGAAAAGATTTACATACCTAAAATCAATTTGGTACTATTTGATCAATGACTACTCTTAAAGTTTCAGAGAAGATGATTCTCAATAGTACGAGTATTATGTTTTGCTATGACTTTTAACAATGTCAAGGTCAAACATAGTCATTTGTTGGATTATTTTAACTAATTTGGTATTCACTCATGATCAACTTTACGTTTCTGTTTCACGAGTGAAAGCAAAGACAATATTAAAAAATATTAGTTCAAGATGATAATGAAAATCCTTGAAATTACACCAAAAATGTTGTATACCCCGAAGTCTTTCAAAAAATATGAATTTAAAAATATTTGAGATGTTCACTTTTGAATTTAAATAAGGATTTTCATTGCCAAATATTTAATGCTAAATTATTTAATTTATTTTATTTTTAATACCTATAGTATTAAAGAATGCATTACATATATTTTCATAAACTCAATTAAAATATTACATTGAAGATAATAAATAGAATTGTCAAAAATTTTGTTTGACCCGTGCATCGCACGAGTTAAAATACTAGTTTATTATATTTAACAGAATCCACTCTTAATCATATGGAACATAATAATAGTGATTAATATTTAATAATATACTCATACAATATTAAACAATGTAACACCATTTAATCGTATATTAATTATATTTAGCTATAGACTAAACCTTAACATTCTTTTTCAGTATTTTATGGATTGAAATGATTTGAGTAGACATGATTTAAATGAATCTAATCAAATTTTAATAAAAATAAATTATAAATGGAAAAAGATAAGTTGAACGGCCTAAACTAGTGTGGTATACGGAGCATATCCAAAAGCCTTTGAACTCAGGCCCATTAGAATTCAGAACTCCTGAACAAATTCAAAACACAAAGAAGTAACTGAGTAAGGACTAAAAGGATAATGAAAGAGAATTTAGGTGGCTAAAACCTAGTACAAATGTCGTAGCCTCGGCAATCTGTTGCCATCACTAAGATACAATTGACTTCTCCGAAGTCCAAACTGGCGAGGCAGAAAGGGCACAGAAACTGGCCTCCAAGTCGCGCTGAATGCTCTCTCCTCTGTTCCTCTATCAGGTTTCAATGTGTGCTTTACTTTCTTGATTTTTTTAAACCAGTTAACTAGTGATGGGGGTGGGTAAAATGGAGAGCCCTAGATCGTTGATTATCAAGATCCTTAAAATTTACCTTTTTTTCATCATCTGTTAAATCTCATATTGGTTTTATATGTTTCAGTGTGGGATGTGCATGAAATTAAGATAAAATTCGAAAAAGCTTCAATATTTGAATAACCCCTAAAAAAATTCTTTGTTCATTGCTCCTCATTTATCATCAATCTATTTGTCTTATTACGGATAATTTGGGAGCTTTATTTGAAGACATAGAATAAAAGAAAAGAAGAGAAATAAAATATCAGATCAGAACTGGAAAGGATTAGATGAATGATATGTAGTTGTTTTTGTTATTGCTTGGGTTAGAATCTAAACGATGTGCTGCCAGGACTATGAAGCGGAGGCAGAAAAGATTAACTGATCTAAACTACGATGTATTGAAACACGTTATTTACCACCTAGCGAAATCGTCTGATGGTGCCAAGAGCCTAGCCAGGGCAATATCTGTGTGAGTATTTACCTCTCAATTTAAGCTGTTGAGAATGAGATGATATATGTGTTCCAATGAAAAACTTGTTTGCAGTTGCAGTGTGTTTAAGGAACTTGCATATGATAGAGACATATTGAAAGCCGTGACATTTGATGATATAAAGCTGCCCGTTATCCACGAGTCGTTTTGGCTACCCACTGCGTTGTTGTGCACCTGTTTTGGGGTGGCGAATTTGAGTGCGGCTGACAAAATAGCTGATGTATGTGCTTGCTCACATTATTTGGTTCATTTCGTGTTTTAATTCTTGGTTGGCTTTGGCTAAAATATAATGTGCTTAACCTGCATAGATTTGCAGTATGCAGGGATGCTGAATGCGGCTCACAAGGCCCTTAAAAGAGATATGTTCCGTTCGAGAGTGGTAGTATTACCATAAATCTATTTTGACATTGTATTCTTAGAATAACAAATTGTTTTTTTATTACTAAAAATATTGCTTTTACTTAGGCCCTCATCGCAAGAAGTACGGATATCGAAGTTGCAAATACAAGGGCAAGGAAGAAGGCTCTAGATGCAGCAATGGATGTTGGTTTTTTTTCTCTTTTTGCAGTAATTTTGGTTTTGTTTGCTTGGGAAATGATGTGTTAAATCTTGAATTCTGTATGCACGAGCAGGGGTGCATGAAGATTTGTGACGTTATTGACTCTCAACTACAGAAAACTGAACACTTCTTGGTAATGCTCAAAGCTGCACAGAAAGCTCTTAGCGCCGAAGTTGCCAGGTGATTGGGGATTTGAACGGTCGAAGTGAGATTTTCATGCTATATGTTTATAATTGCAGAACTGGCATGCGGTGGGATATTCTACAGAACGCAAATTAAAGAAGATATCAGTCCCATTGCCATACACGGAAAAAAATGCATCTCTCCCCTTTAAACACATAACCATGTAATGTGTTTAGGTCATTGTTTTGTTCTCCCTTTTTCTTTTTGGTAGATGAAACACTTGAAAATGACTGCCACAATAATGTCTCATATTCTAAGTTATGTGAGTAATGCAAAAGTTCTTCCAAATGCAGGTTATTGACCTTAATTCGAGTTTTCTACATCTTTTGGTTTTATTTTGCTAGAAATATGGCTCTTTTTTTAGGCTTGACAGAATTAGAAACAAAATATTGCAATTTTCATGCCAGAACTACACTCTTCATATATAATCATTCCATGGAAATATTGCAATTTTTAAGCTTGTTTTTTTCTAATCTTCGTTGATATCAAGATTAGAATCCTTCATTATTGTCCAAACTATGTTAAGTTAAGAACTATAGTTGAAGCACAATTTATCTCCTCAATCAAGACACTAGGGGCAACGCGGGGCGGTCGGAGCCCTTCAAGAGTCAGAGCAAAACATGTCAGTGTAATTTTTTTTTGTCAAGAATAGAAAGAAAAATGCTAGGGGTACACCTTTGGTGTATCCCAAATATCCCCCACCCCCTCCTTGTCCACATAAGTTGGCAAGAAATTCAAAAAAGTAAATAAACAAAAATTAGATAAAAATTAGTGGTGGAGAAGATAGTGGTGTACATTTAGGATACACCTTTGGTGTAACCATAGCATTTCTCGAATAGAAATGATGTCCATGAAATAACAAGAAACCATCATTGATGTATAGATCTGAACTAGATAGGCGCCAAAGGAATGGGCAGAAAAAGAGTTGAGGTTGATCAAGGCCAAAGAAGATTGTAAGATGTAGGTAACTTGATGTGGGTTTAGTAGGCAATGTTAAAAAAATCCACTCCCCTCGATTTTTTTTTCCTGAAATTTTATTGCGCTGTATATTATATTCCAATAGTTTGAGAATTGAAAGTGTAATATGAATAAGGACATAATTTAAGACATGAGAATTGAACCAGAGGTAATTAAAATGTAAGAATGGGTTATTAAGTACTCCCTCCGTCCAGCTATATTCGTCCACTTTTGACTTTTGGAACTGTTTATCTAGGTACTTTGACTCATCAAATTTTCTCAATGTGTAAGACTAAATATAGTCATGTGTGATCTTGTTTGATTTGTCTTAACATATAGATTATTAATATATAATTTTTATAATTTTTTAATATACAAATTACAAGATAAAATGGATTAAAAAAGTGCATTGGATGGTGTGCAAAAATGAAAGTGGACAAATACTCTGGGACAGAGGTAGTATAAAATAAATGTGTTATCTCAAGTAATTAGAAGTACTAATTACTGTTAAGGACATTTTCAAAAATAAAAAGTTTTATAAGGATATTAGACAAAAATAGATTGCATGATTTAAAAAAAAAATTACCCTATTCTACATATACGAAAAAAATTAATTGGATTGGGGGACGGGCCGTGCCAGAGTTTTATCCCTTTGCCCCCAAATTGAATTGGATTGAGAAGGTTGGTTTGGACAAAAATGGGTATTTTGCGTGATAGTTCTGGGCAGTGTTTGTGGGGTTTGCTAGGGGTATCCCAGCTTGTGTATATCAGTAGGTGTACACCAAATTTGTCAAAGACACACATAGACATTAGCGGTCTATGTGAAACACAAACAATTGATGTCTGTGTGTGTTTGTGCCAAACTTAGGGTACACAAGATACCACCCCTAGGTTGTTTTGCAGTGTTTAGTTTGCGAGAGTGGAAATGGGATGGGCTGTGCCAAGTTTCTCCATCTTCAAAACAAATTCTCTGTAATCTTAAAACAAATTTTCGGTGGGCGAAGATGAGATGGAATCACACCCAAACACTTGGTAAGCGACTCCCTAAAAATGTTATTCCACCCTCTTGTTTCATCTCCGAAATTCTATTACATACCACATCTGTCTTAAAACATTTGTCTAAATTTTAACTTTTTACGTTTAAATTTATAAAAAATTGACCCTTAGTTGAATAATTTTCATATTCGATAGTGATTTAAAAATAATTTTATTAAATTTATGTTACAAAATATTTCAAAGTATTAGTTTCAGTTAATTATTGATCAAAAATCAATTTTTGTTTTTGTTGACAACAAAAAGTCAAAAGAGAATAAAAGGCCGTAAATAATAGAGTACAAAATTGTTATATTATGCTAAAACTATCCGAGAATGAAACTTGGGATTGGGATTGGATTTGGGATATGACTTTTTGGATCTCATCTACTCTCCAAACAAACAATAGGCATGAAAAGTTCAAATAATAGTCAACACAAAAATTCAAAAAATGTATAGAAACAAGACTGGTCAACGACATTAGAAAACACCAAATGAGTACAGACCAATACAAATCACGCCAGGTTTTTTTTCCTGGGTACATAGTCACTTAACCAATTAGAGGAAAGCCAGAAATGTGAATTTGAATAAGGCTGGCGCTCCTACACAAGTAAAAGCAAGGAATCCCACAGAGCAGCAACGGCAAACAGAGCTGGGACAAGAATGTGACCTCTGAAAGTAGGAGGAGAACTGTTCTTCATTGGTTGGGCCTTTGGAGGCGGCGGATGATCTTCAACACGAATCGCTACTTTCGTTCCACCAAAACAATGCCCATTGCCGCTAATGAAATAGTAAGTTTTGGTCTCGTTAAGTTGAACAACATCTCTTCCACCACGAGTATAGTCATGAAGGACATGGTTGGAGTTGCATGACTCATAGTCAGTTTTGTTGACTTCGAGCACACTAAACTGCGTCTTGTCAAAAACAAAATCTGCAAAGTCAAAATCCATCTAACAAAAGTGAGTAATTCAAGAGACTTTAGAGAGACATGCTATCATTTATCTAATAAAAGTGAGTAATTTAAGAGACTTTAGGGACATGCTATCATTTATCCAAGAAAAGTGACTAATTCACGAGACTTTTGACATATTTCGTGATGTTTTTATGTATCACCTTTTTATCAATCATACTCCATTAATCATTAGTGTTCATATATTGTGCTACACTTGAGAAAGTTGGACCCACTAATATGTATGGAGTATCGCTTTTATCCCTTACTTAAGTTATTATGTGCTTTCCATTAAGGGGGATAAAATGGATTTAACTTATGTATAGGAAGAAAAATTATATGAACCACATATCATCCTTTTAAAAATAAAATTTTATTTCGGCACGTCAGTTGTCAATAAAAGAAAAACATTGGAAAAAAAATTTGAAAAGTATAAAGGAGAAAAGAATTAAGATTTCACCCGGGGCAAGTGCCTCCACTAAAGAACATGTAGATATGAACATGCCCATGCCTGCCTAGACCGCACTATGTTGGATTTTACTGGGTTTTTTTGTTGTTGTATATTTGCAAGAAGAATGAAAGTTTTATTTTCTGATTGGTTCATATTTAGAACCTGAACTCAACATGATACAAAGTAATGTTCTATAGACAAGAAGCATGTTAATAATACTCCCTCCGTCACAAATTTGAAGTCCGGGCGGATCCATTCACTTTTATAGGTGAACAGGGAACCCTAGGGTTAGGATTTACAAACAAGGTCACGGGCTCATCTCGTGAACTTCCTTTATGGATAAAGACACTGAGGTGCATAGCATGATGGCCATGGGATACTGGCCGTGGTGGGGTGTTGGTGTGTATGTGATTACGTTGGTAGATGGGCACCAAAATTGGTTAAGAGATCTACAAAAAACATCTATAACCTTTTGGGGATGATTTTCCATCAACTTTGAAAATCATTTTAACTCGATCTCACTTTTTTTGCAAGCTGCACACAAAAAGGTCTACAAATTGGCCAAAACAGCCTTATTCGAAAACATCACTATCCTCCTCCAATTGGTGTTAATAATTTGGCTAAACAGATCCGCAATGAAAAAACGAAAGAAATTACACATTTCCTGTTCAACTTGCAGAAAGCAACGCAATCCGCAACAACAAGCATGATTTGAACTTCATATTCATCGTGTATGTCTAAGAAGAATAAAATGATGGGGAAATTTAGGGGGGGGGGGGAACGAGTAGATCTGAGCAGGGAGAACTTACAGAGCCAGTCGCCTTTGTAAACATGTTCCTTGAGAGCCCATTCGGTGTAGTTCACATTGGAATTCCAGAAGTTTCGCCCTCCCACTGTGTGTCGGATGGGAACATTGGGAAGCGGGTCGGACGAGATTCCCGGCAGCATTACCACTGCGGCGCACGTTAGCGCCACCGCTATTGTAGACCAGCCCAACGTCATTCTTGGCTTCTCCGGTCTCTTGCGCTCTGGATAAGACTGCACCGGCAGAATAATAGAAGTACAGAGGCTCGGACAGCTTTATTACTCCCAAATTCTTTCAATTACCAGAATGACCAACTACAAAACTCATTCCGATTTTTTTGAAAAAAAAAAGGACCATGCTAAACTTACCACAAAATTTGCATCACAAACTTACACTGAAAATTTACATCAATATTTTGATTGTTCACATTAATACAAAGTGTTTGTGCATTATCCCAAGGGTTTGTAAATCATTTGTACACTCAGAATTTGTACACTTAGGTGTGCACCAACATTTTGTGTTTGTGTAATACTAATTTTTGTTAACGCATCAACACTTTGTATCAGTGTAAATTTCTTTTTAACACATCTACACTTGTATTAGTGTGACTATCAAAATGTTGGTGTATACTTTTGGTATAAGTTTGGGGTACAAATTTTGGTGTAAGTGTAGCATGGTCCAAAAAAAACACAATACCCTACTCAAAAGTTCGGATATAATTAATTTAAATTTTATTCTAAAATTATTTAAGAAAGAAAAATAATATTTTATAACATATCATGGATACTACAATGGATCATATTTTATTTATTGTAGAAAAGTTTTCGGTGTGTTTAACGATACAAATATGTAAATATGTTGTTAAGTTGTCAAAACCAATAATTTTGAAAAAAAGTTTTTGGGAAAGACATTGATATTAATGTAATCAAATAGTTATAAAAAATGTGTTTATAAACTCCTTAGCTAATGTAATGATATAAGTTTTTGACAATGTTCTTTTATACAAGGTATCTTTTAAAGATAAATATTTCTGAGAAAAGTTTTGCATATTGGAAGATGAAAATCTTCACTTAAAAAATGTGTAAAGTTGAAAATTATTAATTGTGTGCCACCTTATATTTACGAGGTAAGTAGAGATGAAAAAACATTTGCTACTATGAAATTGACCCTATTATTGTGGTATGATGTCAACAAATCACTACTACAAAAATGACCAAATCGATCACCTCATTTGCATTGGTCAACAAAACAACCGATCTAAATATACAAAAAAATTCGCGTATCGGTTGATATTTACATCGGTTAAACCTAATAACCGATTCAAATAGTTATTTGAATCGGTTATTAGGTGTAACCGATGCAAATGACTTTAACCTTTTGCATCGGTTAAACCTAATAACCGATTCAAATAACTATTTGAATCGGTTATTAGGTTTAACCGATGCAAATAAGTGTTTTTAAGATGGCCTCTTATTCCTTATCCTTGCACGGTTTTGAAAAAAAAAACCCTCCAAACCTTCTTCCCGTCGTCGCTCTCCTTCGATGCTGACCTCGTTCTCCGTTGTCGCCTTCGCCATCAGTTTCCTTGCCGTCGTCCTCTTCACTTTTCCCGTTGCCACTCCTCGTAGTCGTCCATATCGCCGTCGGCCCTGCTGTTTCCAACTCATCCTCGCCGTCGCCCTCGCCATTTCCTCGCCCTCATCGTCTCATCCAACCTCGCCGCCGGAACTGCTGCCTCATCGCCGGCCCTGCTGCCCGTCGTTTTCCCTCGCCTCCTCTACCCCACGCCTCCTTTAAGGTATTTTTTCTAATTTTGTAAACTTTAAATTAAATATTTAATTATACTATTATTTGTTTATATATTTTTGCATTATGTTAATATTTAATTTACTATATATTTGAATTGTTTTTGTGTTTATTTTTATGTGATATTGTGATATTGATTGCGTTTGAAATATAGATTGTTTAATTACTCTTTGTTTGATTCTACATGATCTGAGATATTATAATATAAAAATAACATATATTGACCGACCTAGATACCCATTTAAAATTTACTCATTAGGAGTAAATTTTAAATAGCTCCCAGTTTGGAGCTGTTCTTGAAATGTTTCTCTCGCTTAGGTAGTGAGTGTATTTCTCTCTCTTTGTTCTATCATTTTTTGGTTTGACGTTTCCTAAATGTGTTCTTCGGGTGCATATGTAATTACGTTACATCATGCACTTGGAGAACCATTGGGAAATGCTGCCAAAATTTTGATAGGTCAAAGAAAATGAAATACATTTACTAGTGAGGGTGGCATTTCAAGAATGGGTTAGGATGGTGTAAAGAAGGACCATTTGTATAATGAAGAAGTGATGCCGGATTTTTGTTACATCATAAGAAATAAAATATTGTGTTGCCTGTATTTCTTATATGTTTGTGTGTGTATATAAAATGAGTGTTAAAAATTTTGTTGTGCATTATTTTGCATGTATCAATCATTTGCCCTTCTTTCTTGCTTAGCAATTCATATGATGGATAGAAGTTGGATTCATATGTTGCGTACATCACCTGAGTTTAGTTCTGGTTTGGAAGAGTTTATTCGTTTCGCAAAGAAACATTCAAAAGAAGGAAAAAAGCTATATTGTCCTTGTAACTCATGTCACAACCATTTTATGGTTGATAGCGTTAAAGAAATAAGATTACATGTGCATCGCAAGGGTTTTGACCCAACATACCTGCGATGGAAATGACATGGAGAATTAGAAAATCCTTGCAGCTCTAGTTATACTCATAATGACCAAGTCGAAGATGATATTCACGACATCCACAATCTTGAGGTTGAAATGGAAGATGAGTTAAGGGCCACTCAAGATGTTCCTCTTGATAAAGTCGTCATCGATGAGGAGCATAATATGTATGAGAGCTTAGTAGGAAGCTCAAAACGCCTGTTGTATCTTGGTTGTACAAAGTTTACACGTTTGAAGGGGGTTTTTGAATTGTTCAATATAAAAGTAGCAAATGGGTGGAATGACAAAAGTTTCACGTCTTTATTAAGTTTGTTGGGTGAACTTCTTCCAGATGGACACGAACTGCCATCGTCCACTTATGAGGTGAAGAAAATGATGTCTCCAATGGGTGAGGGCTACAAGAAGATGTATGCTTGTGTTAATGATTGCATTTTATATCGAAATGAGTTCGAGGATCTCAACAAATGTCTCAAGTGTTTTGCTCCAAGATACAAGGAGTCAACCAAAATGACTCATAACAAGGACAATATGAAAAAAAACCAAAAAGACTCCGGTTAAGGTTTTGTGGTACCTTCCAATAATACCAAGGTTCAAGCGTTTGTTTGCTTCAATAAAAGACGCTAAGAATCTAGTGTGGCGCATAGAGCAGAAAAAAGATAATGGCACCCTGCGTCATCCTACCGATGCCCCAGAGTGGAAGACGATTGACTACACATTTCCAGAGTTTGGGAACGAGGGGAGAAACCTTCGATTTGGATTGTGTACTGACGGAATCAATCCTTTTGGAAGCTTGAGTACGCAACATATTACTTGGCCGGTACTGCTTGTCATTTACAATCTTCCTCCAGAGTTGTGCATGAAGCGCAAGTACATCATGCTATCGTTGTTAATACCTGGGCCTAAACAACCGGGTAATGACATTGATGTATTCTTAGCCCCAATGATTGATGACTTGAAGGAAATGTGGATTCATGGTGTCAAAGTATTTGATGCTTATCGTCAAGAGTGTTTCACGTTACGTGCTATGATTCGTTGGACAATCAATGACTACCCAGCATACGGTAACCTATATGGTTATAAGATTAAGGGAAAATATGCATGTTCGATATGTGAGGAGAATACTTCTAGTGTGTGGCTAAAGAATGGAAAAAAACAATCTTTCTAGGTCATCGCTGATTTTTAAGACGTCAACATCCTTACCGTCGCTTGAGAAAAGCTTTCAATGGTCAAGCAGAAAATGAGGTTGCTCCGAAAGTATTGAGTGGCAAAGCATTACATGAGAAGTTGAAGAACATAAACCACACATTTGGTAAGACATAGAAAGTTGATCCAAACGGTCCTATTTGGAAGAAAAGATAAATATTTTGGGAACTACCTTATTGGGAGTACTTATCTGTCAGACATTGTCTTGATGTGATGCATATAGAAAAAAATGTAAGTGATAGTCTTATTGGCACCCTCCTAAATGTTCTTGACAAGACTAAAGATGGTGTTAATGCAGAACAGACTTAATAGACATGGGCATTCAAACTGAGCTTGGACCGCAATAAAAAGGACATCACACATTTCTCCCTCCTGCTCGCTACACACTTTCTAGAGAAGAAAAAATCACTCTTTGTCAATGTCTACGTGATATAAAGGTTCCAAAACGGTATGCCACAAACATTAAGAGTCGTGTGTCGATGAAGGATTTGAAATTGAACGGTCTTAAATCTCACGAATGCCATGTTTTAATTCAGCATTTCTTGCCAGTGGCAATTAGATCAATATTGCTAACGAATGTGAGGGGGGCAATAACTAGACTTTGTTATTTTTTTAACACCATTTGTAGTAAGGTCATTGATGGTGAAATGTTAGATCAATTCCAAGAGGAGGTGGTAGTAACCTTATGTGAATTTGAGATGTTCTTTCCTCCTTCATTTTTTGATATCATGGTCCATTTAGTTGTGCATTTGGTGAGAGAAGTTAAACTTTGTGGCCCTGTTTTTCTTTGGTACATGTATCCATATATTAGAGAGATTTATGGGTATTTTGAAAAGATATGTGAGGAACCGGCATAAACCTGAGGGCAGTATTGTTGAAGGATACTTGGTAGAAGAGATTATTGAATTCTGTACAGAGTATTTGGATTTGGAGTGCACAGTTGGGGTACCGAAGTCTCGGCATGAAGGTAGAACTGAGGGGAAAGGAACAATAGGACATCACATCATCCATCTTGACTCTGAAATGTTCAGTTTAGCACAACTCTATATTTTACAACAAATAGATGATGTTCGTCCATATTTAGAGAAACACATGTCTCTTTTAAGACAACAGAACCCCGGGTAAACTGAGAGGTGGTTGACCAATGAGCACAATCGTATACTTCTAAAATGGTTTCAAGAGCATGTTCGCTGGCAAACAATACATTCTCCTCATAATGTCACAGAAAATGTGCGATCATTAGCTACAAGACCTTCAATAAATGCATCTTCTTACGTGGGGTACTACATCAATGGCTATTATTTTTACACAAAACGTCAGGATGAGAAGAGTACAGTACCGAATATCGGTGTGTCA